GTTGCTTTCAAACACAAACTCTTTACGTAGTTTACCTCTTTTTAATTTGATTTTAATGTACCTCATGAAGAAATATCAAATAATTAATTAATACTGTACTTTCTCTGAACATCTGTTCTAGCAATTTTTTCAGCAGTGAAACCTAGTCTTTTTCAAAGGGCATCTAAAGCCAATTCTCAGACGGGACGTCGAACGTCCAAAGTTTACAAACAAATCACTTGCTTTTGTTGATATCTTGCATTGTCACATGACCAATTTCATTCATAAACCAATGGTTAGTGATAGGCGTGCATTTACAAACAAGAATATCCAGGAAGTAAACAATAACAATGGGAATCGGCTTTAGATGCCCTTTAAGTTTGCACTTGATCAAAATAATTTCAGCGTTCAAAAGAGTAGGCGACATTTGCAGAGAAGCGCAGTTTCACACTGGTTGCCACGAAGCATAATAATTTATTGAACAAGGCGAACTCGGATTTACGCGATGTATAAAATATTTCCCTGCCGAACATGGTAGATGACCTTTGACCCCCCACCCACCTGTAGGGGGCATATGTGTCTGGCTGTTGGGTGTCATACCACTCAGGGGAAAGTAGAGATTTTGAGTGTGTAGTGTGTTGCTATTTTACCGTGGCCATTAAAGAGCAAAAAGACATTTGACACCAATCAAGTTTGTTGTTCACGTGAAAATGTCAGATTTTGTGAGTATTTCAATCCAGATGTTTAAGTATTTATCACGCGGTTCAGTTCTGCATCAACTCCCTACAGCCCTACGTCCCCTTGGCGGTAATGCCAGTGTTACGTTGCGTGCCATGAACCTCTCACCTTTAAACGCATAATTGCTTTCAAGCTGTTCCAGTTCAAGATCGCTTTATTAATCATTACACAATTTATTTACTAAATTATTATGAAAGAAAGAAAGTATTACGAAATGACAGATCATTGAAGGGCCATTCTTTGAAAAGTGAACCAAATTTGAAAAAAATCAAGTTTTTTTTTTTTTTTTTTTGGAATTTTCAGGTGTATATAGTAAGTCAGTAAGTAACACTTCATTTATATAGCACTTTTCTCAGCTCAAAACCAAAAAGTGCTTCACAGGAAATAAAGACACAAGAAATACAATCAACACAATCATTGAGACACTCTAGTGCCACATACAGCAAACAGTTTATAACAGTTTATTCACAAAGAGCATTGTTTTACGTTTTATGAAATTTATTTTTTTTTTCCTAGACTTAAAGGCCCAATATGTAAAATTTCCAAATTCAAAGATCTATAAAATATATAGAAATGTTATATATGTTTTGGTGTTGTGTACTTACATTATCTGTGATGTATTCAATGATTATCAAAGACAGAGATATCTGTATTATCAATGTGGGACACGGGACATTTCTTTTTTCGTCGCATATTTGATGTCACTGCCAACACAAAGAATGCACGAGAGCGAGAAAATCACCCTCCACACACGCGTGCTTCGCCGTTGCCAAAGAGTTTCAAGCCAAGGTGGTAACCATCTTGTGTCGGGAACTTAATTTTCCACCAGCAATGGTCGTAGATCAAATTTTATTCAGGTTGTTAGCTACCTTACTAAATAAACTGCTGCTATGTGTCTGTTGGAGGACATAGTGAGCCGTGAGATATCTCTCTCTCTCCCTGTCAAAGTGCACGTTAGGCTATTATTTATTTATCTTCACATAGTTAGCAAATCAGCCTATTACACCAGCAGTATCAGTTAAAATTTAGCCAAGTTGTAACATAAATGTAACGTTACTCCACTTCAAAACATTTTTCTTGAGATGCCTCATGACAAACAGAAAGCTGATGTGTACGGCACATCGCTTGTGCGTTATGGGAAGTCAGTGCTACGTTAGCTACATTACTTGCAGTTATACCACGGCTCCCTTGAATACTCGATTCAGTTTGGTCTATCAGCGTGTCTCAACAGATAACCGCTGGCCAGCTGGTCTGTTGAGCACATCGTTGCTAAGGAAGCTATAGCAATAGCGGCAGGAGCAACTGAAAGCGTACATTGCCAGCTGACAGTGGCATTTCCTTGACATCTGTTAACTTTATCATTTGCATTGTGTTCACATCTGTTATTATTCTCTACAAAGATGGGCAACATGAGCCGGCCCCACCCCCTTATCTCAGCCTCTGACCTGCAGCACCTCATAAGCGCTGAGAACGGCCAACTTATCATTATCCCTTACATTTTTTTTTTATTTGAATGAAATAAGATGAAGTTATATTAAAGTAAAGAAATATAACCTTACCTCGTCCATGTACATGGTTTCGCCGCTTCTGTTTGAGTCACGTCGGAGAATTTAGCTGTCAGCAGTGCGTGTAAATTGATGAAGACAACAACCCCCATGATTCCACGCGATCCCATTGCGTCATCAAACTCGGCCTGTTGTCATTGTTTGCTTAAGCGCCCTCTAGCGGCAGAGAATTACATATTGGGCATTTAAGATCATTCGCTTAATTTGGCCATTTGCATTGATATATTTCAATGTAAATAATAATAAAAATAAGAGTATTTTTTCTTATTTTCATCAACTGGTAAATTGTATGTCACTTTTTTGTGTGTTTGTGTTGCAGAAATGCATGTTCACTCTATTCCTCAAATTTCAATTAAAATTATCACCACTTTTCATTCTCAATGAAATAATTAACAAACATTTATTTAACTTCAAAATGTCACACACACGACCAAATACATGACAATTTTAAGCCATATGAAAGGCAATGTTTTATGACAATTATTTCCATGTACAAAGCAAACTCTATTTGACCTTGCTTTTGACCAAATATCAAGTCAAGACTATTCTACTTAATTAATACAGGACCTAATTAATTGCTCACGAGGCTGTGTTGCTATAAAAGTTAGATAGCAAATTAACGTTAAGCCCCTCTGTCAACTCAGATTTTGTCCTGATGTAAATAATGGCGAAAATGATTCGCGACTTATACAGAACACCATGAATGTTTGGTTCTTTTAAATGAATAGAAATGATGGGTTGTATGGGCGATTTAACTTTACAACTTGTCAGTTTATCTCCTAGAATGTAACTTGCCAGCAAAAAAGAAAATGGTGTTTTAGGCACCCTGTTCATCGCACAAAAATTTTTTTTTTTTTTTTTTTTTTAAATTTGACATCTCCAACCACCCACCAGGAATCTGGAATGCCCAATTGGTGAACAAATGTCTAGTCTTGTTACACCCCTTTTGCCAACTCAGGAATTTAAGTAAACAATTTAAGTATTCTCCTCTTATTTTCATCAACACGTGCCTGTCAGCCACTGCTTTTAACACTCATTGGTTTTTGTTCATGTCAGAAAGATTCTGAACAATAAATTCATCTATTGAACAAACTTCACACACCAAATCAATTCTCAGTGTTGGCCAATGTTGTCATTATCCAAACAAACTCTGTTTAATTTCCTTTTTTCCTGGCAGTCCTATTCCAAATTTGAAACCCAGGTGACAGAATACCAGGGGAATAGTCCTCCTGGATGGCCAAATGAAGCTACTCTGAAACTGTGTTGACTATAAACTGCGGTTAGTCCGACCTGGGCAGCAAAGAATGACAAATTTTTAACCGGTTCACACAAAAATGTGCAGTTAAGAGTCAGACTGTACAAATATCCATTTGTCTCTGCTGAAATATAGCGCCAGAATGGATTTATTCTAAATGATTGGACTAGGTTATGAAGCTGTATAAACGCTCCCGCTTCATAGCTAGCTGGCCATATCTGATAAACCATCTACAGCAGGGGTGTGAAATGAAACCAGGAAATGAAAAGCAGTCACAAATGCTACTGTGTTTCTGACACGTGAGGTTATGTTGTGTTTTGGGCTGCATGGAAGATGACAAGAAGGCACTTTCCACTGTCGATCCTGCCTAGAACTGAGCAGGTAATATGTTGTGTGGAAAATGAGCACATGGTACCAACGCTGAGTAGAAGAGAGTGAAATAGATCCAGTACCATGCAGTGGAAAAGCGCCATTAGTCGTCTACCCGGTGGCCCTGTGATGCTCGGCCCCTTCATTGTTGCTTGCAGCTATATTTCTGACAGTGTAATCACAGGGTCTTCCAGGACCAGGTCCAGGAAATGAAAAGCAGTCACAGATGCAAAAAAATTGCATGACTCAAGGCCTTTTACATGTTTTGAAATGTTTAATATCTATTTTAAAGACCAGAACATGTACAAAGTGCTTATAAACTTTTGCTAAGCTGTGTATATGAACAATCAGAATTAGTCCACTGCATGCATACGTTATGCATATTCAAGATTGGTTCTGCCAGACCAGAACATTAAATAAGTGCTTATGAACTTCAGCTAACCTGTGTCTATTTTCACTAGTGAACAATGCACTGCATCCATACAGTATGCATATTCAAAATTGTTTTTATCAAAAAAAAAAAAAAAAAAAAATGTGGAGTGTATGGACTTTTTTTACGTGGCCTCAGTTTTTAATTGTAGAGCATGTTCACAATGCTGGTCATCATATGTGGAACACCAGGAGAGAAAAATAAACATTTCTATATTCCAAAAACTTCTGATTTTTTTTAGAAGTACATAACCTATGCAACGGAGAACAAGAGGTGTGGAAACATTCTTTTCAATGGAACTATCAATTTACGCTTCATGTTTATTGAAAATAGGCTTAAAATTGATATTCCTGCCACATTAGTCATCACTGAACCACAAAGCTGAATGTTCACACAGATGAAGAAGACAAACTTTTTAAGTTGGTTTAGGATATGGGCAATTCTATTGGAGGTAATCAAATGAAGGGTTCACTCTCAACATTGGGTAGTCGGCATTGACAACTCCATAATTTTGTCATTTGCAAGAAGCTGCATCATTTCATTTTATGTTCCAGCTAACTTCTGAGCAGAAAAAAGAAGAAACTTCATTCAGGTTACTGTAACTTAGTAGTGCTAAAGCCCCATGGAACACTTTTTACCAGGAAGTCTACCATGAAGTGAGGGCGGCACGGTGGCACAGTGATTAGCATTGTTGCCTCACAGCAAGAAGGTCATAGGTTCGAATCCGGCCTGTGGCTTTTCTGTGTGAAGTTTGCATGTTCTCACCGTGTTCGCGTGGGTTTCCTCCGGGTACTCCGGTTTCCTCCCACAGTCCAAAGATATGCGTATTAGGCTAATTGGAGACACTAAATTGCCTAAATGGGTCATCTGTGTCAATTGGACTAACCAAAAGGATGACCATCTCCAAATTTCTTCGTGGACTTTGATATATCAATCAATGTATCTAAGTACTCTCCCCAAATATTTAATCAAAAGTCCACATAGTCCTCGAGTTTCATATCTTTAATGTGGGGGGGGGTCTGTGCTCCTGCAAATCCTTATTTCTGGGCCATTTTGAGGGGGCTACTATGAGAAATGAAAAGTGGTACAGGTCTAAGTTTAGATATGCAAGTAGTACTACTTATAGAGACCAGGGAAAAATAAAATCATACCCCTTGTGTCATGGGCTGATGCACCGAGGCTGGAAAACGAAAAAAATCAATGAGCCATAACAAATTTTAAATAATCAAAAATTAGTCAAAATTAGAATTCTATCTCCAGCAAATAAATCTTTGGGCTACTAATTAAGGAAGATATGGAGCTTGCGTGGGCATAACAATTATTCTTAAAACACCATGTTGATCCGCCACTGAGAACAAAGTCAGCCAAAGTGAAATATCTAATTTGGAAATTAAGTCCATACTTTTATCGATTTGAATATTTTTTTCCTTGAAAGACTATATTTCCATTACCATTGAATGTGGAAAGGTGTTCATTATTTCTACCTGGGTGAAATAATTTCATCAAAGTGCCTTATTTTTGCCTATCATTTTAACTTTTCCTGACATTGTAACATGGGCCTTCTTAGGATACAGGTAATCAGTGAAAATCAAATATCCCTCATCAATCCAAAAAAAAAAAAACCTATGATGACCAGATTCCTGCTGATTTGCTTTTTCCACAACATATAACATGACTATAATGATCTGTTAAAACAGTAATCAATTAATTAACAGATTTATAACACTGATTGGAATACTGGTGTGTATTTTATTAAAACATTGGAATGAAAGAAGAATGAATCAGAACTACATTATGACTTCAACCATCAATGGTCACTAGTTGGTCATTCATCAAAAAAAAAAAACATAAACTATATGGTACAGATGATGTGTTACATCTCAGAGCCTGTGTCTATTGGACACATAGCGTGAACAATCCACTGCATCCATTACAATGGTACATATGCAAAATTGTCACACTGCAAACAAAAAAAAAAGTCCTGGACAGTATGGACTTTTGCATATGATGGACACTCGAATTGGAATGGTTCTGGAATTTTGTCCAGACAATGAGGACTATAGCATCAAATTTATGTCACCCAGAGGGCCAACAAAATCGTTCAGGTGGCCTACCAGGGAGGATATGGATCCCAAAGGGAATTGATATTCTATGTGAGATTACCCCACCAACTCCAAAAAACACAGGAAGGAACTACAAAATCCAGAACAATGAGTTCAAAACAATTTGTGACACTTTTGAGCAGAACAATCTCTCCTGATGTTTCAGGTAAAATATGGCTTAAAACTTTGACTGGATTCTCATTGCTATTGAAGCTCATGACCTATTTTCATCTGAATAGTCCACACAGATGATGAATGTAAAAATATTTTGAGATATTTGGGAGGTACTTCAGATACATTGGTGAATCTTATTCCTGAGTTAGAAGGAAATCAAGATGCTCATCTGGGCCGTCTGGTTGGTTGACACAGGTCTCAACATTGGGCTTATATTCGGCAAAAATATGGTGCCAGCCCATGATGATTTTTATTCAGATATATTTAGTGGGCATCAACATGTCCCCTAGTACCTATTTTTACTTTTAACACTGATCACAACTGTATCCTAAGGTAGTCCATGTGGGAAATGGTTGGAAAAAAGCTTAAAATGATAGACATAATACGGCATTTTGATGAAATTATTTCACCCAGAAAGAAATTCGAACACCTTAGGAACCACATTCAGAAAAGCTGAAAATGTAGTCTTTCAAGGAAAAAATATTGCAAATCGATAAAGGTCATGGGCCGCCAAAATTCCGGCACTAAATTGGGGGCTTTTCTGCGCCACCCTTAAGGTGTTTTTGAATAATGTTCTCAAGCTCCATATCTACCTTAATGGGTAGCTCAAAGATTTAGTTGCTGGAGATAGAATTCTAATTTCCAAATTTTTTGATTATTTAAAATTTATGCGGCCCATTGATTTTTTTTTTAATTGGAGCCTCGGTGCATCAGCCCATGACCCATAGGTATGAGTGTGATGATTTTATATTTGGTGTGGTCTCTGAATTAAACTTAGACCTGTACCACTTTTTGCGCCTTGGGATAGGATTCAAAATGATAAAGCTGTCCAGGGAAAAGGTTCCTGCCTTAAATATTTGGGGAAGTCAGCTGGGTTAGGCTGCAGTCCCCCCCGGAATGACCCTAGTGAGGAATAAGCGGGTATAGAGAATGAATGAATGAATGAATGAATGTCTACCATAAAGCAGGCAAAATGGATTAAATATGTGTGACGAACAGACATTGTGGGACAGTTTTATGAATGAATAGCAGCAAAATCCACAACATTGTATCCAATGGATATTTTATTCAGAGGAACAACAACTTGAACACTGTGCATACATCTGGCACCAAAAGAACTGGCCTCTGACTAAGATCCAATTTTGAATAAACCAAATGAGGAAATTAACACCAAACAAACAGGTGAAATGGATCAGGTGGATCAAACTACATCTATTGATGTCATACACATTATACGGGCAATTCCATGAAAAGAGAGACGTGATGAGCAAAACTTAAATCTCTGTTTAACATCCAGCAAAGGGCCTCAATCTATCCACAAAACCCCAAACTTTAAGAAAAGATATGGCTGAACCACTATTTTTCAGCAAGAGTTTTGCATCCAAACAGATGGTGCAAATTTTACCCTGAAATCAGCCCAAAATCAGGTAATAAGGACATTTGAAATGACCAGTAACTAAATGGGTATTACAATTCATATCTTTGAATTTGTTATGCCTAGAGCATCAATTTAAAGTAGAGGGGAGCTTGAACCCTCATATGGAAGTTTGCTGGCCAGAAGGTAGGGGTGAATTAATCTTCCTGGTCAATGTAACGTCCGTCACGGAAATTTTGAATTACTTTTATTGGAAGAAAATGAGATGGAACATTGACTTAACCTTTTCAATGCTCTTTCCTGTAGCCAAGGCAAAGTCAATAATGGACAAAGTCTGCCTGAAAGTTGGGCATGTAAGATTTGGCAGGGGATCAAAATCCGTAACGTCTGTCACATGTAACGTCTGTCGCAGGGAAAGGCGTCCTGTAACATCCGTCATATGCCCAGAGAGTGGTGGAATGCTCAACTTATCTAGATAATAAAAGGGAAAGAGGGAATTTTTGCCATGGATGTTTATTGAATTGGAGCTCAATTGTGTTTGAATGCTCATTTTTAAAGGATGAAGTTTTAATCAGATTGTCATTTGATTGTCAAAACTGCCACAAAATTTGCAACGTTAACTGGGTTTTGACTGGAGCACTCGAATCACTTGCATCAGTTTATTGAGATGCCAAGACTAATGTTTCAATGCACAGCGTCTTCCTCAGAGTCAAACTAGTATTGGTGAAGTTGGGACAGCTAAATAACTTCCTCCACACAGAGAATAACTTCCTATTGGAAACCATTAAGTTGGGAGGTATCCATAATGAACCAATACTGTGATAGCGCTCAGTGAGGAGGTGTCATCTCAAATATCATCATTTCCGCCCATTAACACAAATATCAGCCATAATGTATATACAAGACATAAAATAACACATATATACACTTACAGAAAACAGGAAAGATTTGATTCTTCATTCAGTCCATGTGGTTCCACAATGTTCAATTTGTAAATCCAATATGCTCATTTTTTAAGCAGTCTGTTAATAATATCCCCACCTCTCTGGGAGGTGGTCTAGTGGTTAAGAGAAAAATCGTGCATTTTGTGACAAAAGCTTGAAATTTGGTATGTAACCATTTTAAGACATGGGGAATTGAATAAGACCAGTAGCTACAAGATCTGAGCAGTGGATCTTGGCCAAATTTCAACTTGAAATGTCAGAGACACATCCTGCGTCCACGAATTAAACGTTAATGCACATGCAATGGGGGCAAGACTCTGCTGCAGGTAACTCAAGCCTGAAACTTAATCTATGACCATTGTAAGACATGAGGAATTCAACAACACTGACATCAAATGATCTAACCAAGGTAACCAAGGTGGAAAGAATCTCTTGACAGGAGGAAGCTTGTATTGTGGTCCAAATTGTCCATAGCACCCACTGTAAAAATCCCTTGCTTTAGCTTAACTGGGCAAACCATGCCTTCTTCACAATACTGTGCACAAACTGCATTTGTGATTGCTGTGGAAATAGTTAGCAATCGGTCATACAAAATACATAATCCCATTTGGTACAATTTGTCAACCAACTCACGCTTCCTTGTAAATGCATGAACAATCATGCTGAGATAAATGGAGAGAGGTGTTTCTCTCTCACAGGAATGCCTGATGGTTGAAGATTCTTTTTATGGAGTTCCTTTGATCATGTTAAACATGATTATTTGAGCAATATTTGTGGCAATAGCTGTCCTCACAGCATTTGAATTGCTCTGATTAACAATGCCTGGACCCTGTAAGATCATATTCACAAGGGATTGCAAAGTTGGAGGCACAATTGTGTTAGAGAGTCCTCAGAGAATGATCCTGTGAATGAATATGCCTTGTTCTGGATATCTTTGCGTATTATCTGAGCAGTCCTGACCATGTGAACTGCATCTGAATCACTTGTATGGGCCATTGCAATTTTGATTGTTTCCCCAATGTCTTTGTCAAACATTAGAATGACTTGTTTTCCTTGGGTTTGGGCTCTCGGGTTGGGGAAATGACCCAACAGCCTTTCTTTTAGTCTAGTGGGACGGACCTGATCTGGTGAATCTTGGTCCA